ATACAACTACCTGCTATTTATCGGAATGCTCCACAACACTGCAAATTCGCTGTATCCACAACTGATGTCATCATCTTCCTTATCCCCCTCCACAGTCCACTGCCTCATCCTGAACCCCTTATCCCTAGAACACCACTATCCATCACCCAGTTCCTTAAAGTGAAAACAGAAACCATCCTGGATTTTCCTCCTTCATATTCCACATTTAATAGATTATCAAATCCTGACACTCCTACTCTTTCATCTCTGGATTCTTCCTTCTCCTCATGCCCTCTACCACTCTCTTGCCTCCAACTCTCTTATTCTTCTATTTTTTTAAATATTTTTAATTTTTTTTTTTTCTTGAGACAGAGTCTCACTTTGTTGCCCAGGCTAGAGTGCTGTGGCGTCAGCCTAGCTCACAGCAACCTCAAACTCCTGGGCTCCAGCAATCCTTCTGCCTCAGCCTCCTGAGTAGCTGGGATTATAGGCATGCGCCACCATGTCCGGCTAATTTTTTCCATATATATTAGTTGGCCAATTAATTTCTTTCTATTTATAGTAGAGACAGGGTCTCGCTCTTGCTCAGGCTGGTTTCGAACTCCTGACCTCGAGCAATCCGCCCGCCTCGGCCTCCCAGAGAGCTAGGATTACAGGCGTGAGCCACTGGGCCCGGCCTAATTTTTTTTTTTAAATTTCAGACTATTTTAGGGGTACAGATGTTTTGGCTACATTGATTGCTTTTGTACTGCTTGAATCAAAGTTGTAAGTGTGCCCATCATCCAGATAGTGTGCATTGTACCTGTTAGGTATGATTTCACCCATCCCCTCCTACTCCCACACCACCTCTGCATGATTTCCACTGAGTGCTGATCAGTTAGTTTCCACTTTAATAGTGTGGTGTTGGTTTTTCCATTCTTGTGATACTTCACTTTGGAGGATAGTCTCCAGTTCCGTCCAGATTGTTAGAAAAGGTATTGTCATTTTTTTTATGACTGAGTAGTATTATACTCCATGGTTACATGCACTATATTTTGTTGATCCACTCATGAGTTGATAGACATTTGGGTTGATTCCACATCTTTGCTATTGTGCTGCAATAAACATTAATTCATCCTTTTATGGCTGAGTAGTATTCCATGGTATACATATGCCACATTTTATTAATCCACTCCTGAATTGGTGGGCATGTGGATTGATTCCACCTCTTTGCAATTGTGAACTGTGCTTCAGTAAACATTCTAGTGCAAGTGTCATTTTGCTAAAATAGCTTTTTTTCCCTTTGGGTAAAAAATACCCAGTAGAGGGATTGCTGGATTAAATGGTAGTTCTACTTTTAGTTCTTTGAGGACTCTCCATACTGTTTTCCACAGAGGTTGCACTAGTTTGCAGTCCCACAAAGAGCGTGTAAGTGTTCCTATCTCTCATATCCACTCCAGCATCTATTGTTTTGGCGCTTTTTGATAAAAGCCACTCTCAGTGGGGTTATCTCATTGATAGACCAATGGAACAGAGAATCCATATATAAAACCATCTACATATTGCCATCTGATCTTTGACAAAGTGAACAGCAACATACACTGGGCAAAAGAATCCCTGTTCAATAAATGGTGCTGGGAAAAATGCAGAAGATTGAAACTCTTTCTTACTCTCTAACATGAATGATGACAGCAGCCTCGTAAGTGATCTCCCTGCCCAAGTCTCACCCCCTTTGCCCTGCTGCCACATGGATTCTTCTGAAGTCACAAGCCTTATTATGTGCCTGGGATTCTGCACAGAGGCTGTCATTTCTCTCATAATCTGCTTCAGCAGATTCCTAATGTGTTCCTCACTTCTCTCATGCCCCATTCCATCCTCTCCTCCATAGTGCTGTGATTCTGCTAAGACATAAGTCACACCTCATCATGGCTGCACTCCTACAGCTCCCTGTTCCATCCACAACAAAAGGCAAAATCTTTCCATGTCTACTAAGCCCTGCACAATCAGGCCCGCCGCAGTCTCTCTGACCTCCCGGCTCACCCCCTGCAGTCACACTGGCCTCCTTGCCATTTCTCGGACACTTCAAGACACACTCCTGCCTCAGGGTCTTCGCACTGCCCTGAGCACCTGAGGACACAGTTTCCTCTGCCCGGGACACTCTTCTAAGGTAGCTGCAAGGCGATAGAGCTCACCACAGAAATCATCCTGCTAAAATGTCGCTTCCTCAGAGATGCCTTCCCTGTATGAAATCACACCCTCCTCCCCAGCTTATGCTCTACTCCCAGCCTGCTGTTGCTTTCGGGACGCATCGACCACCCACCGACTATCTGTAACTGTCTATGTTTTACATCTATGCGTTTCTGTGCATGTCTTCCCTGTGAAACAAAACTATGAGGGGGGAAGAAAACTATGAGAAGGAAGACTTTGTGTCATTCACTTCTGTGCCCCTGCCACTTAGAATAATGCCTAGCACATGGCAGCACTCAAATAGTTGTTAAATGAGCACCTCAATCAATGAACACCTCTGCACATGTATCCCTAATGCCTCAAAAATAAGCTACAAACTCCTTAATTTCTTATCCCTGCCTATCTGCTGTCATGGTCCATCTCTCTCTTTTTTGAACCATGTATTTCAGCCAAAGTGAAGCAGATGTGTTTTCCAGAATCCTCTCGTAGCTTCCACTCTCAGATCACTATCATGCTGTCCCCACCCCACCCCTTACCCTTTTTTTCGTGGCTAAATCTGATCACAGTTCAAGTCTCAGCTCAGGACCAGCTCCTGGGAAGAGCCTTTCCCCAAGGCCTACACATGCTGCCAGAGCATTAGCTCTTTGGCAGTCAGTTCAATGCTGGACCACTTTGCTCATCACCTTTCAATGGGCTCTTAATTTATGACTACACCAAGCTCCTTGGTGACAGGGGCTTCATCTAATCCATCTTTCCCAGGATTTATCGTGATAAATCATGAATGTCATGCTACATGCTCAATAAAATATGTGGAGTGGAAGAGTCATTTAAAAATAACGTATATTTTTGTGAGAGGTGAAAGGTTCAGATCCTATTTCATTCTTCTACATTTGGCTATCCAATTTTCCCATCAGCATTTATTGAATAGGGATCTTTTTCCCAGTGTATGTTTCTGTCTGCTTTGTCAAAGATTAGATGGTAATAGAATGGTTTTAAATTTGAGTTTTCTCTGTTCTGTTCCATTGGTCTATGTTGCTGTTTTTGAGCCAGTTACCATGCTGTTTTGGTGACTATAACCTTGCAGTATAGCTTTTAGTTTGCTCTTTTTGCTTAAGGTTGCTTTGGCTATACGGAGTCTTCTCTGGTTCCATATGAAGCATAGAATTATTTTTCATAGATCTGTGAAAAATGTTGTTGGTATTTTAATAGGGATTGCATTGATGTGGTATATGTACATCATGGAGTACTACTCAGCCATAAAAAAACCTGGTGAACTAATCTTGTATTAACCTGGATGGAACTGGAGCCCATTCTTCTAAGTGAAGTATCACAAGAATGGAAAACCAAGCACCACATGTATTCACCATTAAATTGGTACTAATCAATCAACACTTATATACACATATGGAAGTAACATTCATCAGGGATTGGGAAGGTGGGGAGAGAAGGAGATGGGTAAATTCACACCTAATGAGTGCAGTACATGCTGTCTGGGGTATGGGGATGCTTATAGCTTTGACTTGGGTGGTACAAAGGCAATTTATGTGACCAAAGCATTTCTACCTCCCTATATTCTGAAAGAAAAAAAGAAAAAAGTTATAAAAATAATGAATAGTTGGTAGTTACAAAAAGCCTCGGTAATCTAAATAAATCTTTTATGTCACTGATTCAGTTGATGAGTCCAAATTACCTGACTTTGTTAATCAGTTGAATATACTAAAGAAGTAATTTTATAATAATTCCCGTGAGCATCAAATAATGTTTGTTAAGAGTTTTAAGTGTCACAGAAGATAAGGACATAAAAAAATTGCTGTAGCACAATAGATGATCACACTTCCCCCCCTAATAAATTTCTAAACCTGTTACTGAAGTTTCATTAATGAGGAGTTGTTAGGTAAGAAACAAAATTTAGTTCTTTAAAATATCATACTCATTACTAATAAAGTTTATTATTTCTAGTAGCTTTTCTATTACTTATAGAATGATTCTTCAGAGTAAACTAAAAACTCCTATATTAAAAATGAGCCTTCCCAAAATTTATATATTTACATATAAATATTAATAGAAATTAACTAAGCTCAAAGATCTTACATAACAGTCCTCAGAAAATTTACTTTATAAAGACAGAAACTTAACAATCCTGTGAGTCACATGTGTAACAGTGATTAACCTAAAACTCCAAGCACATGCCAAAGAGAAGAATAGCTGAAGGGTCTCAATTTGACCAAATCAGTACATGTTAATATACAGTATCCAAACACCACCCTATAAACATGATCACTAAAATCCCTACACTGTTTTTACAAATAAAACAAAAATGTTGACATCAATGGAAAATAGCCAGGAATTGACGTGATCCTTTATCAATCTCAACATACACACACAAACTACATCATCCTGAATTTCAGTATTAATATAATTCAAGTATTAAGGGGTACTTGGGATAATAGCCATCATGTATGGAGTACATACCATGTTTAATCCGTACAATAATTCAACAAGGTAGTTATTATCTTTTTTAAAATGAGGAAACAGCCTTCAAGAGATGAATAAAATTGCTTATGGTAACACTGATGCACAGCTGACAGATTTTAGAGTCTGTAGACACCAAAGCTCACATTAGCGAAAACAAACCACAACGGTAATGTTGACAGCATGTGGAATTTTTAACTTGAAACTATCATAACAAACCCTTCCACGGCATGAAATCATTAAGACTGTAGCACCAGCTACTGGGAACACATGTTTTTTTTTAATACACTGTGACACATGGAATTACCATCTTATTAGATCTTCTCATTGTCACCTTCAGAAGAGGAGTGTTAAAATAGCTTAAGATCGTTGTGCAGACTTACCTAAGCTTGACCTTGTGTTGGATCTTTCTATTATTGCATGCTTACTGGGATTGTTTAATACTGAGCGTTTGGCAAGCGAGATATCAGCAGTGACCCTTGTGATGGATATCCTGTGGAGAAAAAGGAACAGACAATCCTAAGGTCATTAATCAAAGGAGGAAGTACATGACCCAAGCAAATATAAGTATGAAATATATATAGTGACCATATTTCCACACCATATATGTGAGGGCGCTTAATCGTTCATTTTTGTTTAGCCCGCACTTTAGTTAGCATTTTTTGGTTGCTTACCAAGTGCCAGGTATGTACTAAGCACTTTATTTGAATTATCTCATTAAATCATCCATTATCTCACTTTTGCTGATGAAGACAATGAGCCACAAGAAGATTATCCAAGGCTGTGTATTTACTAAATGGTGGAGCTTATATTCTTAGCCCCTGCACCCATAGTTCAGTCCTATGATAGGTATCAAGAACAAGTAATAAGACAAACATGGTATTGCCTCAGAGAGTAAAGAGTCTAGTGGCAGAGACACATAATAAGCAAATAAATTTAAATTTAAAGATTATGATAACTGTCATGAAGAGAACGTACAGGATATTATGACATGATAATGACTTGGGGATCATTTTAGACAGGGTAGAAATGAGCACAACAAAATCTGGAAGCTGGAACTAGTAAGTTACTTAAGACTACAGAAATGTGAATATTCAAGTCAACAGTAGGAAAAGCTGTGAAGCAAAGTTGAAGGCTCACAGTATCTCTGAAAAAGGTGGTGACAGTGGGACCCAAAATAGGAAGTTTGGTTAACGAATCTGTTTCAGACTCAGAGCTCCACTTCTCCATAACATCAAGGAGTCAGGTGACAATTTTTTTCCTGGCTGGTATAAAATCACAGAGTTGTTATCTGCAGACAAGAAAAGAGAAAGCCTCTGACCGGAGGACTCTTGGCAGAGCAGGGGCAGAAAATACTAGATGAGAAAGCAAAGCTTCTGAATGTTGAGCCCCCATCCTTCTTTGACATCATAGAATACTGGTAGCCAGGCCTGTGTTTATGTCCTCCCTGGGTCCGAATGGAAGAATCTTCTCTAAGGAATCTGATGCCAAAGAGTAAAGACCCAAAGATAATGACATAGGTGGCTTCCTATAATATTGCTCAGCAAGATTGTCCTACAGGGAAGCACAAAGTCAACAAGCTCCACCTATGAGCTCAGAACTCCCAGTTAATTATTTTATGCCCCGTTTTATAACGAGTGCAGAAGTGTTCGTCAGGCATATTCAGAAAACCCCTAACCTGAGACACCAAAACAAACAGAAAAATCAACTATGAATTCTACTCATGGTTGGAAGGTAAGAGCTGATTACATCTGTGAAACTAGAACAAATTCCTATTTAAAAACTTAGGATAAGAGCTTCTGTAAATTAAAAACATGGCAGTAGAAATGGAAATTCAAAAGAAGGGTTAAAAGATAAAGTTAAGGACCTTTTAAAAGAGTAAAACAGAAAAGACAGAGAAAACAGGAGAACGGTAAGAAAATCAGAGAACAAGAATTCAGAAGAAGAAAAGAAAAAATAGAGAGGAAACTAAAACAGTAGTTCCAGGATGAATGGTCTGATTTTCCAAATTGAAAGAGTCCAGCACAGTGGTTAAAAGACCCACACCCAAGACATATTCTTCTAACTCTCCTAACGTTGTGGACAAAGAGAAACCTAAAAGTTTCCAGAGGAGAAAGCAGGTCCCAAAGGGTCAGGAATGGGAATACTTTGTCCTTCTCAACAGAATATAGAAGCCAGAAGATAATGGAGCAAAAAGCCTTCAAAATTCAGAAGGACAATTATTCCAACTAGAATATTCCATGACTGTGTAAATGGTCAATTACACAGGAAGGTTGATTTAAAGACGTTGCCAGCCATTCAGGGTCTTGAAAAAACTAGTATGTACTCTTTCCAGGGAAACTACTGTAGAATGTTTTTGACTAAAAAGGGTAAAGCTTGGAAGAAATTAAGAGATCTAGAAAAGAGGAGCTCCAACCCAAAACAAAGGTGAAAGGACCCTCCAAGGGTAATGACAAGGGCTGTCCCTGAATGACGCCCAGCACAGAGAGAATTGGTCTAGACTGGAACTGGCTAGAACAACTCAGAGATTCAAGAAGATAACTAATACTTTTGGTTGGCTCCACATTTAGCATTTATTATAACCATGCAAATAATATTCAAATGAACCATGCAAATAAATTCAAATGAACCATGCCATATACTTTTTCCTGTGGGCTTTCTTTGTGGTCTCCATGAAATAATTTTACGTCTTACATTTGCTAAGTTTTCTATAAATGTGTCATGAATCCAGGTGCCAGTTCTCCCCCAGCTATCTAAATCTCTTCCCAGGATATTCAAATGCATCCAGTAGTTTCTTAACTTTTAATAGCTGGAAGATTAGAGGAAGAGAAGATGTATGCAGGCATGTATATGGGAAATGCACAAGAGCTCAGTATTCTTCATGGTATGAAATCCATAGACGATGCCTAACGCTGAAAACCTGAGCAGCAAATTAAGCACGTTATTTAGAGGCAAGGAGAAAATACCCAAAGACACACTTGCTATCTGGGGAGCAGGGCATTTCATAAACTATGAAAAGAGATGACTGGCTTTTACAAAAAGATTTGGTTTTAATCTATATACTATAAAGTTCATTCTTTCTGGTGTACAGTTCCAAGAGTTTGGACCCATTTATAGAGTTCTGTATCTACCATCACATTCATGACACGAGATCCTTCCATGAGCAAATCCCACAGGCTGCCCCTTGGTAGTCAATCCTCCCTCCTACCCCACTCCCGGCAACCACAGAACTGTTTCGTGTCCCTGTATGGTTTTGCCTTTTCCAAAATATCCTCTGTGTGGAATCATGTGTGTGTGGCCTTTTGAGTAACCCTCCTTTCACTTTGCATGAGGGGTTTGAGATTCATCCTCACTGTGTTGTTTCAACAGTTTACTCCTTTTTTATTGCTGAGATTGCTGTTTTAGAAAAGATAAGTATTTGATAAAAAATCTTATTTAGCATTTAAAAAGCAACAATCAGCATGAAACGCTAAACCCATCAATTTAAAAAAAGTTTCATTGTTATTTCACAATGCATTCACTAGGGAAGTCAGGCTATACGTGGGAGCATCCACTGCTCAGTGATGACTTTAAAATGCTTTCATTTATTCGGGGGTGGGTGTAGAAGGGTAGGGTGATGCCATCTGGGAAGCTCCAGCTATAAGGCAAGTAACAGAATTCCCTTTATGCTGAGCACCTGCATGGCCACAGAGGGAGTCATTCACTCAGCACATATTTACTGAGAGCCTACTATGTGCCCAGCCACCTGGGTCTGTGCCTCTAGAGAACCCTGGCTACTCACTGGGAAGCAGCTGCCCTGTCATGGGCACCACCTTAGGGATATGGCAGTGGTGACAAGACAGACTAAACCTGCTCAGAAGCATCTTACAGTCTAGCCTCTAGGGAACTAATTCAGGGGAAGGGTGCGATTTTCTGTAACGATACATCTTCTTGTCCCACGTGCTTGGTCTTTTCTTTCTGCACATGGTATTACTCAGCCAGGCTTCCACTGACCTGCTTATGTAGTTAAGAGACAGGCTACTATCCCATTTCAACTCTTGAAGTTATGCTTTGGGCATCATCATTACTTGGGGTTCTGTCCAGCAGCTGACCTTGAAAATGCTAAGGGCAAAATTCTCAGGGACCAATTCAGTTTAGAGTAATAGCTCTCAACCCTTGCAGTATATCGAAATCACTATGCAAGTTTTAAAGTTACAAATACCCATAGCCTGTCCTCGAGCTCTGGTTTCAATTAGTGGAGAATGGTATAGAATCCGCTGGATTTTTTTTTTTCCCCTAAGCACTGGCTGGTAATTTTAATACACAGCCAGCATGGAAAACCACCAGTTTTAGAAGTCATCTCACATCTAAGTAAATTTTTTACACCAGAAAATACAGTGATGTAATGTTTCCCAGGATTATTGATTTCCAATAAGAGTCTCTCACAGAAGATTCTGGCAATAGTGTTCATATCCCTACAGCAACTTCAGGGCTAATAAGCTGACATTTTCAAAGTCACTGGGGGGAGGGGGAAAAACCCTGAATTTATCCCAGATGGTAGCTTCCCTTCGAGTCCCTGATTCCCTTGTTAATTTACCTGTCATTGTCCTACAAGGTGAGTCTGAGGACTGCTTTGTTGACAGGACACAGTTGGTTAGGGTGAATCCAAGTTTAAATAGCCTACTCTGTTGCACACAACAGAGAGAGGATGATGATTTGTCATCTCTTCTCTGACCTGACATTCTTACGCTATTTTAACAACCAGAAAAGTGATTCTGACAGCTCTCCGGGGGCTTCTACAAATGGACTTAACGTGGGTTTCAGAACAGAAAAGGAATTCCTGGCCATCTAGAACCTTTTCATCATCAACATTTCCTTTCATATTTTCTCCTCGTGGGCTTAAGATTGTTTAAAAAATAAATTTAGTTTATTTAATACATCATTATGACACAATTCATTTTTCCCTTTTAGAATGTCATGTATGCACTCATACCTGGTGTTTTTGATGAATTTCCACCCTCTGTTGCTGTCTTGCATTGCCAAAAGCAAAGACATTTAATGATTCAGTTACTCTGAATGTCTTGCCATGGGTAAAAAAGTTAAATTTTTACATGGCCTTTGAAATCCTACCTTGTGAACTCTACCACTTCCTTTGATGATCTTTCACTAGCAACCACAGGCCTACAATATTGAACTCCATCTCTGTAAGTCAAGACGAGCCCAGGCTGGTCCACTAATAAAGCCATATGGAAATTACTTCTGGCTAGAATAGATGACTACAACATCCAGATATTCTGTGTATTTATTTCTTAAATGAAATCAATCTGGGTGGCTGATACTTGAGAACGTGGGTCCAAGGTACACCCTTTGGCTGGAATCTATCTTCCAAATTCAAAACTTACTCAGGTTTAACATAGAAGTAGTAAGCCAGGAAATTCCATCCCATTTCCCCATCTTTGGCATTTAGTAAAGGGCAGTGGGTTAACTCAGTCACGGAAAACACAGAGCCTGTTTTAGCAGAAATTTCTGAGCGTGCATGCTCACGGAGACAACTCCAAATTGTGATAAATGACAGAGCCAAGGATGAAGAAATCGAAGCTAAATGGGGCAGATTAGAGGTATGCCTTTAATACTTGGCCAGGGCCCGATAGCCTTGGGCCACGCTGAAGGCTGCATTTCCTGGCACCAACTACTAAATATTCCATAAAATTATGCAAAATAAAAAAATCTAATTTGAGCATTTGGTTAGGTAGCCCTTGATTATAAAGTCTTTTTTAAACCTTGAAACATAGTTTCTGTTTTCTTCCTGCCCTTTCCATCCTTTCTTGATCACTTCTTAACATCTGTCCTGCTATAAAAGTTTCCCTCCCTACCCTTTGTCTTCCCTGCCAAATGCCAACCCAAATTGGAAATGGCTGTAGTAATAGGTGTGGTCTAGAAAGAAAATACTGTACTAAGAAATCTAAAAGGACACTGAAACCAACAGATATTATCTATCGTACTTGGGTTGTTGCAGGTGGGGGAGAAGAGGAGAGGAAGGGAGAGAGAGGAACCACATTTATCTTGTTAAAAATACAGAAATGTACACTATCTCTGAATGTTCCTAGGTACCCTATAATAATCTCCTCTTGGTTAAAACCTTGAAGTTTCCATTTTGGGCTCCCATCATGTCTTTGGAACTTTAGGAATTGACTTAACCTTTTTTATGGCACCACTGACTATAGACTATAAGGAAGTTCCATGAAGCCAAGGCCCTCGTCTGTTTTGATTCTCCCAAAGCCTAGCACATAGAATACATTCCATAAATATTTGTTGATGCAAGTTGAGTTGGGGATTGGGGGAAAGAGAGGGAAAGGATTAAGTCCAAGCCTATTGGCATGGCATACTAGATATGGCCCCTGGCTTCATTACTCCTTGCTTAGGTCCTTAAAGACCTCTAGGTGGGTTGCCATACACACACGCTGCGTTCTACCTCGATGCCTTCACCCACTTTACACTCTCTGCTGGACACACTCTTCCATTTCTTGTAATTCACTTGGTGAACTCTTGGGTGCCATTTTGAAACCGTTCCTGGATGTGGACATCCCTAAATTAGTATTAATTACTCCTCCCCACTTTATGCTACCTGCATGTGCCAAGTTGCCCGTTCATTTATATTCTACTATACTGCTAGAGATTTCAATTTGTGGTTTACATACACACTCTTCATAGGTAGAGACAGTGGCTTCGCCGTCTCTGCATTTCTCTAGCAGAGCACGTGGAAGACATTCATTCAAAATCCATCCATCCATTTTCATATTGAGCACTGCTCAAGGCACTGAGAATGTAACAGTTCATAAGACATTTAAAAACCCTGCCCTCATGGAGCTTATATTCTAGTTGTGGGAGAATAACAAAATTAATAAGTAAAATACATAAAAGAGCACTGAGGAAAAAAGTCAGGAAAGGAGAATGCCTGTGTGTGCATGCGTGTCTACATGTATACCAAGGAGAATATCTGAGAGGAAGGTGCTCCTAGCAGAGAGAACTGCACCGTGCAAAGGCCCTGTGATGGACTTGTATCTGGCTGTCTGGAACACTCACGGAAAAAGGGAGTAAGCGTGGCAGGAGCGGAATGAGGAAAGTGAAGAGTAGTAAGAGAGAAAATCAAGAAAGGCAGGTGTGGAAGGTCAGACTACAGAGGGTTTGGGGGCATAATAAGGATTTTACTTTGGGTTTTACTCTGAGTGAAAAGAGAAATCACTGGATGGTTCTGAACAAAGGAGTGGTAAGCACCAGCTCACAAGAGAACAGGGTCATTCAGGCAGCTGAGCTGAGAACAGACTTTAAGAAAGCAATGCTAAAAGCAAGAAAACAAGTCCAGAAGAGATCCAGGAAAGAGAAGATGAGGGCGTTTCAGCCCAAAATGACAGCAGAGGATGTGTGAGAAGGGCTTAGATTCTGAACATGTTTTGAAGATACAGACAACAGCACTTGGATGCGGGATATAAGAGAGAAACAATAGTCAAGGATAATTAACAGATCTGGAGATGAAGGCTCTTACGGCCTAAAAGATGAAGAAGCCATTCATTGAGAGAGAGAAAGATTACGGGAGGAGCGAGTTTGGGGGGAAGTTTGGAGGCCAAGTTTGAAAAGCCCATTGCACATCATAGTGCTGCTGGTGGACAGGCAGATAGATAGATGGGTCTAGAGATATCTCATAGATGAGGAAGAGCTAGCAAAGGAGAAGAAGGAGTGGCTAGTGTGGTAGAAACAAACCAGGACAGTGTGGTCCCAGGAACCAAGCAAATGAAGTGTTCATGATAAAAGAGGATGGGGGAGTCCACCATGCCAACTGCTGCTCATGGCCAGGTGACATAAGGGCTGAGAACTCATCCCTGGAGTTAGCATTGGGAAGGTTACTGGTGATCGTGACATGAGTAGTTTGACCGAATAGTGTGAGTGACCACGTAACTGGAGTAGGCTCAAGAGAGTGGAAGGAGAGCAAGTATACACAGCTCTTTCAAGGAATTGTCCTATAAAGAAAAGAAGAAAAATGAGATACCCAGAGGGACTGTGAGGTCAGATGTGAGGAGAAATAACTATGTTTTGAAATGCTGATGGAGTTTCCACTGGAACGCAAGATACCGATTAGAGAGGGAAGGATGCTTGGTTACAGCTATATCTGGATAGAAATAGTTTGGTGGTAGGGACTGGCCATGGCTAGGAACATAGTGATTGGACAGAAAGCCAAACATTCAGGGAGATGATGGGGGAGTCTTTAGAAGAGTGAACGGAAGAGGGATATTTAGTGCAATGTCTGGGCAGCAATTAATGGTGAGACTAGCCAGAAGGTCCAAGTTCATCTCACGGATGCAGGTTCAGGAACCAGACCAACCAGGGTTGAGGATGTGCAAAGCAAATAGGAAAAATATTTACTGAACCAGACTGAACTGAACTAAACTTACTTCCTGTCATCGTATGGACACTGGAGGGCAGTTTTCTCTTAGGGTCATGCTCCTATCCCACCAGGGGTTTGTCATCTTTAAGGCAAAATCCACAAAAATCAATATTCCCCAATACTCACCGCCCTTCAAATCTGTGTTTTAAAAAATCAAACAACGCTTTTTGCATCATATCTGTGACCTGCAATGGAGCAAGCAATAAATTAAGATACGATTAAAAAATATTACTCATCGGGATAAAGCAATTTGACTTCTCTTAGGGATGCTTGAAGACCAGAGCTTTGCATTTGGAAAAGGCAGCAAGAGAGGTGGCCACATTCTCCCAAGTACTGATGCAATGACAGTGAAAGTGAACTTATCCTGACGTTTTAGTGACAAATGACATTGCAAGGGGTTTCAGTCACTCTCCATTTGACATTATTTGAAATTTAAAAAGTTCCTGGGCTGAGTAAATTGTAACTAGCAGAGATCTTCAAAGCCACAGCCAGGAAAATGAAACACTAAGCTGGAAAAACAACATGCTTTGCTGCTATGAGCTCTTCAAGCGCTACATTCGAGAGTCGGGCGTAGGATGTGGAGTTACAAGACAGTTTAGCATGCAAAGGTTGAGCGTGCCACAGAATGTGGCTACTCACCTCATATCCCTTCAGCGAAGGGCCCACTAGGACCACCGGTCGCATGGAAGGTACCACATCGTAAGGAGGAGTGTGCTCTGTCTGCCGAGAGAGGAGAGGCTTTTAACATTTCACAGGCGGGGGAACTGAAATATTTTACATATAAGATACTCTGTCTGAACTCTATGATATGAGGCACTGGCTTTCCAGACGTTTCATTTCTTTCTTTCTTTTTTTCTTTCTTTTTTTTTTTTTTTACTTGCTTCTTTTCTAAATAAACCCAATCAAAGACCAGTGGTGGGTTTATTTTCCTAAAGTTTTAAGTTAGTGGACTGTCTACAATTTTCTTGCTCTTCTCAAGAAAGGCTACTGGCCTAGCAGTTCCTAAAGCAGGAGGTGCTGCTTTTGAGCAACAACTAGACTAGCTGGTAGAACAAACAGAAATATGCCTCATGCAGAATAGGTGCTTTAGACTTGACTGCAAGTTAATATCGCTTTTCAGATGCATTTGAGTTTTCTGAAAAGTTGAAATGCAGACATAACATGGTTAATTACAGAGGAAAGAAATATTTCACTACTTTTACATCTTGGATGTCTGTATATCTTACCTGCATAAAAGCTAATTTCAAAATATTATAACTCTCACTACCAAATACTTGAAAAATTCTATTTTACTGGTAGAGTTTAAAGTTAGTATGCATGCTGTTCTAGTAAATAGTAGTCATGATGACTGATCACACCTTAGAGATTGATGCTTTTTTCTTATGCTTTGGTACTTAAACTTAAAATGTAAGGTTGATGTGTTGTGTCTTCGAGGGAAGGTAGTTAAGGTGTGATAATATATTCAACTATGCTTCACTGGCCTCAAAAGATTCATTATCAACGTGCATATTTAACATGTTTCTCAAAAGTAGTTTAGTATTTCTGTTAGATAACAAATCCATGTATTTCTGCAATAATTTGTTTGTTTTTTGAAAGACTAGGGGGAGAAGCTAAATTTCGTAGCAATTTCTAAAACTATCAAGAGTTTTCAACTTAATTGCTTCAAATACAGTGGTTAAAATAAATTTTTTTTAAAAAATTAGATAACAGCTAATTCATTTGATTACATTAAAACCAGCTCTCTTGATACCAGAGATTATTAAATTGTTCCAAAAATGAAGTTTTTTATTGTAGAAGACAGATATGGCCTTAGACACTGTGATAAGCAAATCATTGCTATATGAATCTGATTCCAGGGTATCCGAAAAATATATTTTAAGAATCACACACACCAAAAGAAAAATATTCTTCAAACTATTTTAAGACTTTGACAAACTGATGTGCAAATGTGAATGTAATTTTTGCATCAGCTATCACTCAAGAGCATTTTATTGTTGCCTCAAATTGCCGATTACAAACTTTCTGGCTTCATTTTCATTTAAGTTGCCTCAGGGGGGAATAAAAAACATTTCAAATTCAAAAGCTTCCATCTGAGATTTCACCAATAGTCACAGACAATATGGATAGAGGGAAGAAAAACATTACTGCCACTGTGCTGTCAAATTTCACTGCTTAAATTTTTACCTAGCATTCAAAATTAATTTTAATAGACACAATCAAGCTAGAATACATTTTTGAACAGAAAAAAAAAAACAAGACAAACATAATAACAGTGACAGCACAAAATGCCACACAAGCACCACTCTAAAAGCAATCTAAAACATAGAAAATAATCTTCTCATTGAATCACAGGTTGTTTTTTGTTTTTGAAGTCTACGTTGAAGTTTCCCATGTAATCAACAACATAAGAAGAATGAATACCAGTGCCGAAGGCATCAGAAGCATATTCATTAAATTATTACAATTATACCACCTGGGACCATACTGAAAATGTTTAGAAGCCAAGTCCTTATAACTATGCAGTATAAGAACAACTTTTCCACCACTGTAATTAGGAATATAAATTGCATGCATTTTAGTAATAGCTACCAAGAAATTTTATTTCAAGTCTTTAAGTCTTAAGTGGCCCAGTATTTTATAGTTCTTTGGTTCCATCGATCTGTGACTGCCAACTAGCCAAGGGTTACCCCATGCTGGTAATCAATCAGTTTCTTAATAGGGTAGCTACAGAAATTACCTTATTTGATGGAATATTGATGCTTTGCGCCCTATTGAGAATGACACCATTATTTTATCTATCCTTTCCTGTTAACTCTCTTTTCTTTGAATTATTTATTTAAAAAAATGGGAAGAAAGAAAAAATTTTTAAAGTTTTGCAATTTCAGGGTAAATGGATTTCAAAACACTACATGACTAACGAGGTTTTAGTTCATGTTCCTTCTCTGTGAAGTCCAGAGCAGCTTAGCAATGCTGATTTTTCTAAGCTTCTGAACTATAGGCACTGTTAGTCACTTGGCTGCAAGTTTTAGCTGTGACAAGAATATTGGACCAGAGAAATGGGCCCACTATTGTGGAAAACCATCGAGCTTGGAGCCTTTTGTGCTAACACAAAAATCTGGTATTTTAAGTTTTGCCTGGAGCGCTGAGTTCTTCCCTTACTAAATATATTAAAAAAAAAACAAAAACAAAAAAAAACAAAAAAACTTTACAGTTCAGTATCTGACACCTTATTAATGCATTAATGACTTTAGAGTTCCTCCAAAGAGCAAAATACTTGTTTGCTAAGGAAAAGGGTTCCGTATGTTGAGAGTTTGGGGCAGAGAGTGGACTTTACTTCACATCTGTGTGTTAGAATATCCCCAGGGCTTTGCCAGTCGTGGTGACATGAGGAGGTATGACTCTAAAAGACAGTGTAGTAGCTGTGGAAAGTGGTGTGCAAAAGAGGGGGAAAAAAGGGAAAATTTTTTTTGGGGGGGAGGGTAGTTAGTGATCTTTAAAAAATAATGCTTTGAAGCTACAAAACGGGCTTAGGAGAAATAGCGTTTTTTGGAGTAAAGAGAGTTTAGGAATACCCTATAATTTGCAGCTGGGGGACAAGTAGCATCACTGCATAGCATCTTGGGTGGCCAACGGCAAAGGCTCTGTGCATGGCCACCAGCCACACTGTCCAACAGGTGGACATCTGACTGATGGAGAAGATAAGAACATCGGGAGAGTATTTATATATGACAATAGGAAAAACTCACAGTAAACCGCCAAAACAAGCCTGCAGTTTTCCACTGGTCTTGCTCATCTGCAGATTTTGCACCTAGTGGATTAGAAGTTTAAATACTGACTAAATTAAAAATTGAATAGTTTTTTCTTTTTTTTTTAGTACAAGCTACATATCTGGATATCATAAATCAGAATCTAATAACTGCTTTAATATGCTTGATTATAAGTTAAATCTCTTGGGAAAAAAAGAAAGACAGACAGACAGAATAAGCATGCACAATTGAGGTGCATCCTATGGAGTTGTCAGTGGTTGACATCTTTGAATGTTGAAACAAATTCCCTTGGTGGCAGATATTATTCCATCAAAAAGGATAAGTACTGTAATGGTGTTTTAACAGGTCACTCCCTGAATTTGGTTGGTTTGAAATGCATGGACTCAATTAGCTGTTGCTAGGTTCTTTTCTTAGGACAGAAATGATTGCATTTAATAAAACTGTGGGAATTAATGCTAATGATGCCAGTGGCAGGATAAACACAGCTATGTCAATGTAAACTTACCGATTTCTGCTTCTGCTTAGCTACAGCAGCATGGAAAAGAAACAAAGAATAACAGAGCATGCATGTTATTGGCTTGTCAAAGGACGCAGACAGTCAACAGGACTAGAAATGTGACGCAGTGCAGTCGAGCGGGTGGACAATGGGAGCTTGGAAGTTCATGTTACCTTCTTAAAGAAGGGCATTCTTTTCTCTTTGGAGTGGGGTGACGTTACACTGTTTGCACTGGGTTTAGGGGAGCGGTGGTTTGCTGGCAAATCATTTTCTTCTGCATCTAAGCCAGTAGCATCTATGTCTATAGCTATATACAGACAAACAATTCAAAAATCATCAGGTGGACAGGAGAGGAAAAACAGGTTATAAAGGAAACAAAATGAAAGCAAATAAAACTAACCATAGTCAAAAAAAAAAATTCTATCATGAATGTTCAACACAGTAACCAAAGAAACTAAAATTTCAAGGTAAAGCAAGTCAAGAATGCAATGTCATCAAATCTAACAAAACTGAAAGATACCCTCGTATCTATTTGCTTGAACAAAACAAATCAGTTGCATGCTAGATCTCTTGAATAATAATTTTAGAGAAACATTTTTAGTTTATAGTTTCAAATACAATGTTGATATTCTCCATATCAACTGTATAAAAGTGCAGGACAGAACATTTGGCGTCATTTCTTAAAATATCTTAAACCAGCTTTCAGAGAATAAACAACTATATTGAAAACCTTTAGCACGATGTGCCTTGAGATGTCTCATTCATTCTGCTTGATTATGCATAAAAATAATGGCAGCGTAAAAAGGTTCACTAAAATTGCAACAGGCATTTGAGGGAAAGAGACAATAAAAAATCCTCAATCTGGGTGACACAAAGGAATCATACAGAAGGCAAATGATTCAGGGAGGACCCCAGGATAGACAGGGTCAAAATGATTTCAAGATAGTATATGTATCCTCAGATAGTCCTGACAAAAGACTAATCAAAAAACACTGGATCCCAGGATATCCAAGTGAAAGTAGTCTAATAAAACATCAGAAAAAAATTGATGACTTTTGTAGGGCTGCTCAATTTAACATAAGAGGTACAGTGTTAGGGCACAAAAAGCCATGAGGATATGTCACCTGGTTTTTTCATTTCTAAAATGAAGGGTTTGGATTTGTTGCTCATCACGCTTTCATTTTTCAAATTTTTCAACCTCAAAATATATGCACTTAAAAAAATCTTAAAATGAAAAGAAAGATACCTAATCTCACTTGAAAGTTTACAAAATGCTTCCACATGCAAATGAAATTATTATAGAATTTTATCAACTGCAGAATCAAAGCTGGAAACATTTTAAAAAGCAACTGCAATCCTCTTATTTTTAAGATGAGGAGATAAACTTGTGAAGTTTAAGGGGCTTGTTCCTGGCAAAAACTAGGCAGAGTCAGGACCCGGACCTAGATCTTCTGCCTAGTGAGTCTATATCCTGTCCCTCCACCACACTGCCCCTCAAGGGGAGGTCCCTTCTCAATGTGAGTGCGCTTTTTCAGTCCTCTTTGCTTCCCAAATGATGTCAGGATTCAGGACACCACAGAGTTGAGCTCGCTAGAAAAATATTCTATGGTTGAATTTAGATTCAAAGAGAAGAAAAGAGGAAAATTTACTCACCCCAGGAAATCATCATATTATGCATGTTAGTGCTCTAACGAAAACTACAGTACATTCAGATTTAAGGAGCAAATTACCATATTGAAATTAAGAAAAAAGGCTTGGTGTTTCAGTACAACTCCCATTCCCCCCGTGCTACGCAAGCTGAATCAGGGCTTGCACCAGCCTCTCCTAACCTTTTCGAAGGAGGGGATATCATCTCCCAGAGATCATGTTATTTTTCAATGTTGAAGTTATTACAGATATTATTAATAGATGATTCAACCTTTTGAAAATTAGGATGTCTTACTTAATTGTTCCTTTTCATTTGATTAGGTAGAAAACCTGTAACAAAGTGAACACCTGGCATTGTCTGCACAAGACTACAAATACCAGCTATTGCCTGCAGAATAGATGAGGTATGATTTTCTACCAAGTGAAACTAATAATGGACTGAGCTAATTCCACATAGGTAGGTAGGCTTACCCAGGAAATATGTCTTTCTCTTTACTCCATCTATGCATATTGATGAGCTAAAGGGTTCAGCAGGTGGTATGGGGGAGAAACACTATAAAATGTGCCAGGGAGTTTGAACCAATGCTGACTTTTTTTTTTTAATTTCAGGATATTATGAGGATAAAACATTTTGTTTATATTTTATATCTTTGCCTCTCCCTAGCGAGGGTTAGAGGCATGATGCCCTTCCCCTCTACAATGCTGACTTTTATACCACCCATGCAACTAATCCTCTGCTCATACAGGCAAGTTTCCTTCCGGGGCTTACTCAATGATGTAAGCTATGACATAGTCTGAAAAAAGTCTTCAGGAATGGTTTTCCCTGAATCCCAGCTCAGGAAGCATGTTGCTAGCACCTTGCTGGACATGGAGGAGAGAATTTGGGTCAGTATCTTGTCATTTCTGTATGTCTTCACTGACATCAAGTAAGTGTCCCTTTTGGTGGCAAATTCCCACACGCTTTTATCTTTCTCATCTTTTATTAGGCTTACAATGACCACAATCAAGGGACAGAACCCTCTGAAAGCCTTTCTGAAACTGATACCAGCTGGATGTCAGAGTTCACAGGACTCCAGGATAATAAAGTTCCTGAGTTGGATTTTATGATTTGCCCATTGAATCTGGTCTGCTATGATCACTGGAGATTATATATATATATTTTTTAAAAGAAAGAGTAGAAATGCATAAATATATAAATGTTTAGCTGCAATACTGCCCAGATGTTTGGCTACCCACACACATAGCCTGAGTCAGGTTCTAAATTTCCCTGTAGCTGGACCCAAGGGCTCAAAATCCCAAACCAGGAACCTTCCAACTTACTAGTTCTGCCATTTCGTTAACTTAAGTCTAAAAGCACCTGAGTTCATTCTGAAATATTCATATTTTAGAGAATTCTAAAATATGTGGTCGCTTCCAGAACAAATTAAAGAAACTTACCAAGACTGTTCAGAAGCATTTTCAACTCTGTTCCGAGTTCTCTATACTTTATTAGACTGAGAGATGTTACCCTTTTTAAATTTCATATTTGTATTTCCATACCTTAGCAAACATTGGTATTTACTTGGGAAGAACTACATCATATATTTGGAAATAGTTTCATTCTTCTTCACTAGTATGCATGTATTATTATTATTGCTATATTATTGGTAGAGAGACTTGGGAATGTTTTTTGAAATTTAAATTTTAATCTTGGGGCTTGGGTTAAGTTGAGCAGGGGTGAGTCAAGTTCAGGGGCATCACATGTGTACACACAACACCATGTGCTCTGCAACTGGCAAAGACCCCATTACCCAGATATAAAGTGGAAATTTCTCCTTCTCCAAGTCCTTGAGAATATTCAAACATACATACTTCAGTCAGCTGCTTATATTCTTTCATCTAGCAATGAGTAAGGGGAATTGTAGGTAAGACCTCCAGGAAACAAAGATAAACATTAAAATTGCAGGCCAATCTGCACCTGACAGGTAGAGCAGTTGTTCCTGGAGGTGGATTGGGGGAACTTCTTTCTAGAATTTTCTGAAGTTTTCCTTTGAATCAATTTAGCTATCGATACGAAAACTATCTCAGAGTACTGAGGTGCCTATTATACATTTTGTAGCTGGTTGTGTCTCTCGTCAGCTCAGTCACAAGTGTTTTCTACTCTTAGTTTTCAGAAAAATCACTCCAAAGTTCTGTACCTGCACAAAACTTTGGTGACATTTGAAATCACCTTTTTTTTTTAAAAAACTATTAAACTCTTCATGGAACTGTATTTTTAATAAACACTGCGCTACAAAATGAAATGTTGTTTTACACATATACTAACTTATTCTTCAAAATTCAGTCACCTCCTCTCAGTATACAGATGGTCCTCAACTTATGATGGTTCAACTTAAGATTTTTCAACTTTATGACAGATTTATCAGGATGTAGCCCCATTATATATAAGGTGAGGAGCATCTGGACTTAGGATGATTTGACTGAATGCTTTTTTGACTTTATGATGGCTTTATCTAGATAGTAAATGCATTTTCAACTTATGATATTTTCAATTTATGATGGGTTTGTTGAGTGTGACCCCATCAGAAATTGAGGGGCATGTGTACTGACAAAACAATTAGAAGACTACAATATGGTGCAAGGAAATGGAAGAATTTTTCCAGTGTATAGAAGTGGGACTGACATTTGCAGGTTGGATTGCCGCTTTATTGCAATGTGATGTAGCATTTTTTTTTTCCATTTTAGGAGCCTAGTAACAGTCCTCAGGAGTTGCTGAAGTAGTCTTCAAGATATGTTAGAGTAGATGGTTTATATAGTCATATATTTGAGGAGGAACAGGACAAGGCTCTTTTACCTTTGCATCCAGCAAATATCTCCTCCTTGATGATAAACTTCACATAATAGCTACAAGACCTTCAATTTTCATTTCAAGCATACTATTTTACTTAATTTTGAGCGGCTTAGAATTGCTGCAAGTTGTAAGTACACAGTTTTTGAAATCAATATGCATCTTAAACAACTGATTTCTTATTGTGCTCAGATTTTACTCACTGAAAAAGTCCTACAGTTTTTGCTAAGAAGTCCTTGGCTGGTCTCTAAGAGCTGTCAACATTCAGGAACACGGTGTGATTATCAGTAATAGAGAAATCCAGTTCTTAAGACACACCTGTCACAGTGTGACTAGTTCCATAATTCAGACACACAATTCTCTGTTTTTGATCTCATCCCCTTTCTAGCTTTCTAGAAATCATACACAGAATCATTTTGCTCACATGCTCTGGTAGCTGATCTTTACGATCTTTTTTTCACTCCCAGTTACACCTCTTAGCAAACTAAGACACTGATCACAGGCTTTCATGCAATTCACCCAATTAATTTCCTATTTATATAGAACTTCGAATTTTACAAAGAATGGTAGAATTGTCAGATTTAGCTAATATAAATTCAGTTAAATTTGAATTTCAGATAAACAATCCTTTTTTTAGTATAAGTATGTCCCATAAATTTTTAGTATGTTTCCATGCAATATGTACTTATACTAAAAAAATTATTGTTTATCTGAAATCCAAATTTAACTGGGTGTCCCTTATTTAATCTAACCACCATGAGAATGAACCTATTGCTCTGGAAAGAAAACAGTAGCTACTCTTCCCACAAGTACTCATATCTTTTTTCTATAATTATCTTCTACGTCTTCCACAGGCCTTTCTGGTAGAGCTCATGACAGGCCAATCACTCCATCTTCTCTTTCTTCTCTGTTCTTCACCTTTCTTAAAGATTTTATCCTTCTCTTTTTATTTAATATTGAAGGCTACAAGCTCACATTGGACTACAGTTGTGGGTGGGCATCCGCCCATTTACTGCCCATGACAAGGTGCCGGGACACCACTGAAGGACTTAAGATAAAAAGTTAAATCCGCTCAACACTTGGATCTGCAGCAGCTGAAACACTTTGAGATGCTACTTTCCTTTTTTCAAAGCCAGAAAAAATAATTTCCCCATATTGTTCTTAACTCCATAAGGCCATCCTTATTTCTGATCCCTTTTTAACATTTGTAGGGTTAACAGAGTAATTCAATGTATATAAATTCACAAAACTAGATAAGACTGGCGAAAGCATGAAATGTAGCGTGTGCTATTCAGTACTTGTCACCTACTTACCAGATGATGGAGGTGTAGATTTTCTGGAACTAGGTACTATGTCACCCAAACTGGATGATGAATTTCCTCCTGATTTACTGAAGTAAAGCAAAAATTTCTATTAAATCAGAAATTCATTTCAGATCCTAAAACATTTGTCTTCCTCAATCAACATGATAGTTCATTGTGTGTTTATTGAACTTTAAATTTATCTTTCCTTCAAGGAGCTAAACAGTAATTTCCCAGCAGAGATTCCTGGAGTATTTGAACTAGCAATGTGATGGTCTCTATTTTCAAATTCAAGGTTAAATTTAAAAAGGCCCTGAGAGAATGGAAGAGAACTAGGGTAATTTATACAGCCCTAGGTTCCCTGCCCAAACCACAGATTGTAGAGATTTGGAAGCCCACAGAGGCAACATATAGTATCAAACCTCAAGGCTAACCCCTAAACTTAACGTTTCCTTCTTGTCTGGTTCCACGTCCTTTATCTTACTTGATTATTTTTGGCATACTAAAATTGAAAGCATTCAAGGGCTCATAGTAACCTATAAAAGGACAGCAGAGCAATACTAAAACATGCTAACCTTTAAGAGACACTCAAAGAGACATGACAAGCAGAGTATGTATACAATTTAACCATCAGAGAGCACCTAGAACACTTCTCAAGCAAAACTAACAGGGAGGATTAAACTTGGTTAATTTAGGAATGCTTTGAAGATAATACATTTCAGAACTGCCAGATTCTAAAGTTTGATTTAAGGTATGCTTAGAAATTTGAGTCAATACTAGAACAACACCTTTTGTGTTTTCTTGTTTTGTTTTGTTTTCTAGCCAGTGTACCAGCATGCTAATTAACATATTACTAAATGGCCTCTCTGCAGATGAAGATGGCAAGGAACATCTTAAAACAGAAGCCCTCCCCCTCAAAACAAAAACAAAACCCCAAAAAGATTAACACCGAATTTGGGCAAGATGACCTCACTGCCTAATATTTATTATTGTGGCTAAGCCAGGTCTAGTTGAAAGAATTTGCTACAATGTTTATGCATCAAGGGTCAATAGTCACTTATGTAAATATTAATATGAAAATATAAGTTCTACTGAAGTATCAGTAACAGGCTGAATTTTATTGCTACTATTCTAGCATTTTAATGCATAAAGCAAACATCAAAAACTTTATTAAGCAACTAGCAGGAGAGCTTTTTTATCTTTTTAAAGTTCTTAAGAGGTACTCCAATACACTTAATGACACCAGACAGTATGTACAATTAATAAACAGGGGTATTTATAGAAGCAATTTCTGGCAGCTATGCAAGGATACCTAACACCAGGACCAAAACATATTTTCCCAGAACTCTGTGTTTTTTTCATTTTCTAAAGTACTAAGTCTAATTTTGGTTCAAGCATGGGTTTGTTTTACATTCCCTTTGAATCTTTTTAAATTAAAAAAAAATTTTTCTCAGGTGTTGGATTTACAGAATCCCTTTGAATTTTTAATAATAGTCAAAATAGTATTTGAGTTATGTAAAATTGTGACAAACACTGCAACTAGTGAAAATGGTCAGGATAAGATTTGCCCTTGACTTTTAATTCTATAAAAATGCCAAGTTCTTGAACTGTGCCCCATTTCTATTGTCTTTGATTTCTGTCCATTTTTATAATTTACATATGAGAGTTTTTAAACACTGCCAGATTCTGATTATGTCCTCAAGACAAAACGACATTTAAAATGTTAGGGGACAAATGTAAAACCTGTGTAAGCAAGAAAACTATTTTCACATGCTTAGGCAAAAGCTCAGGACAAAATAAAATCAAGAAAATCAAAGGAAAATGTATACAGGTATAAGAAAAGGTAACCCCTTTCCCTAGAATAAGTTCTGAGATGCTACACTCCCCAAATATGGATCATTTGTAGTCCTTTAAATAAAAAATGCGATAGCAAAACAATATAGCTAATAAAGTAAATACTAACAGATGGCAATGACAATTTGTTCTTTGCCTGCTGTGCCAGGCAGACTCTGGCCCCATCATTTGCAGGATAGCATGGCAGTCTTGCTGAGGGTCAGGCTACCACCCTGGTCTGCTGCTTACTAGATCTGTGACCTTGGTCGGGTTCCCACCTTCTCTTAGCCTGTTTCCTTCTCTGTGAACTGGAGGCTCTCATACCTACCCTCCCTGCAAGTCCTTAAAAGGCTGAGCTCAGCGCTAATGTTAGATTATGGAGGCTCAGTTGGGAGGCGATCATGTTTCCGTAAGAATTTTGGCAAAGATTTCTACTCCTTTTGAAGTAGTTCTCATTTCTCAGTCTATAAAGCAGCAGAGAAAGACACACAATCTTGCCTCTGCAAAAATCCATCCCAAATTCTCCGAAATGCATTCTCCAAAAACCCTATTCCCAAAACATGAACCAGAGGAGTTTTTAGGAGAAATTTTAGTAAATACTGTACATCAAAAATACTCCCATGCCACCACCCAGATCCAAAGTGTACATTACTAACATATTAAAAGCTCTCAAGAATCCTAAAATACCTTTCTAGTACCTAGTACTATGATAAATTTATTTGACCATGGAACGCCTTTCTCAAGGGATTTGACATGAAAAACTCTGAAAAATGCTGAATTATCCTTAACAAACTAAAAACAAAATGTCCCCAGCTCAGATATTAATAACTTGAAACTTCAATGTCTGTGCCCAAGAAAATTAAATTTTTCAACATTATGATATTTTTATTAATGCAGTACACAAAGTAGAAAAACACACAATAAAGTCAATGGGACACTAAAGATTGAAAAGATAGTATCAGATGTTGAAACACCTGCAGGAAAAGTGCACAGACATTGTTGATCTACATGCCTCTACTTTTATATGACTTAATGCAACTCATGATCCTGTACGCCCCCAACAGCAAATGAATTAGTGAAAGTCAACTCTAGGCCAGAGGTCTCAAAACACAGAGGAACCCATCTGAACTAAATGAACCTGACAATTATAAAATGCTCGTTAATGAGGATGGGTGTGTTCCAAAGCCCAAAGCAGATTCTGTTTCACTCATCTGCTGATACTTGAAAGAAATCCTTGCTAACAGTAAAATACTGTCATTGACAAAGGAATTTGCAGCATTATATAAACAAATAAGATAAAAGCCAGGGGAAACAGAAATCTGCTATGCACATTAAAGAAAAGTTTTGCCCATACCCAGTCCTCTCACAAAGGGAGGGCACACTGCATCCTTGGATTTTTGTGCAGAGGGTTCGAATTAAAATTCACTACGCATATGAGTAGCCCTCCCAGTGATTCTGTCAGTGAGGGGCAAACAGTCTCATGAATGCTAAGAATGATCATTCAGCCCCGGCCTCTTACATAACTCCTCGAACTGCTCTCTGCAAAGGCAGTTTTAACTTGTTTCATGCTTAGCTTCTCTTTTAAGTGCTTAACAGTGGGTAGAACTGAAAATTGAGTTTCTCAGGTGAAAATGAAACGAACAGATGACAAGAGCTGCTATTTGCCAATGATGTCAGAGCGTCGCCTCTAAAATGTCTCCCTGCCATGCCAGGCAGCTACAGATGCTGGGATTAGTCACCAGGGCTGGCCGCCTTGTGCCGGAGTATTTTTCAGTGAACAATCAGGATTTCAGAATTCCTTCTGCACTGAAACCTAAATTTAATACTCTCTGATCTTAGATATTTTCATTAATGATAGTAATTAATTTGATTCTCTCCCAAATAGGATGAAAATAAGATGCTGAGATGAAGTTTTTTAAATGCAGGATTTGTGATGATATCAATAAACTGTATCATCAGTCTACTTTTTAACATATTAATAAAGACCGTAGAACACAGGAAATGACAGTACATGAATGATGGCATAATCTCAACTTTTACACACACACTCTACATTTTTCTCCTACCTGGAGTAGAATTTCCCTTGCTTGGCTCTCTGCTCATGCTGTAGCCTCATGTTTTCTAGTTTGACTGGGCTTGGAATGAATCCGATTTCACAGCCTTCTTTCACCAGTCGCCCTATCCACCAGTCATTGTTAAATTTCTAAACACAAAATCAAAAGTGTTAATGTCAGTGCAGAGAAGTTCAAGTCTTTGAATCATTTTTTTCCCCATGTTAACTATTTTCAATGGAGAGAAATACGGCAATTACGACAAACTATGCCTCAACTATCACAATTCAAGAGACACTTTGGTTCATGGGGTTAACATGTAAGAGTAAAATGATTTTGGTGTTCCTGGCAATCCATCAAAGGCTTAATGCTTCCTTCTCTTGCCTGGTGCTGCCTTAGGACCAGGCTGAATTCTGTGGCAGCTGTCACTGTGAGTAGGATAAGCCCTCTGGGTTCAAAGATTAATGGCCCTTCCTAGCAAAAACATCATTAGGAACTAGGAAGTGTTACAGAGCTCTCCCCTTATATAATCACATGAATTAGTAGTATTAAGAGAAAGAGATAAATATTGATGTTTGCCTTCAATATTTCATGTCAAAGAAAAATTTACCTTTGTGCAAACACTTTTATAACTACACAAAATGATGTTCACAGATGATTTCGCTACTTATACTAATGCTGACAATTTGTCTCTTGCAGGTGGAATATTTAGCATGATTCTTTATGATTTGATTTTGTTTTCCTTAACTGAATAAGTCTGTTCTGTTCTGAACACTTCAAAGAAGACTGTCCATTTGGTTTTTCTTTTCTTTTCATGGTATAAAGAGAATCTCCTCTCAGCATTAACCATTGAGAGGGGACCCTGTAGTGATTTAACTTCCTGGTGTAAAGTGAGATTTTAGGGCGCCAACACTTCTGAAAACTTTTTCTATCTTTCCTATCTAGCCAATATTTTGCATATTTTTTTTAAGTAATTGAAATTTTAGGCTCTAAATTCTCTAGGCTCTTTTTTTTTTTTTTTTTTTTTTTTTTTGAGACAGAGTCTCACTCTGTTGCCTGGGCTAGAGTGCAGTGGAGTCAGCCTAGCTCACAGCAACCTCAAACTCCTCAGCTCAAGTGATCCTCCTGCCTCAGCCTCCCGACTAGCTGGGACTACAGGCATGTGCCACCATGCCTGGCTTAATTTTTTCTATATATTTTTAGTTGTCCAGCTAATTTCTATTTTTAGTAGAGATGGGGTCTCGCTCTTGCTCAGGCTGGTTTCGAACTCCTGACCTTGAGCGATCCTCCGCCTCAGCCTCCCAGAGTGCTAGGATTATAGGCGTGAGCCACCGCGCCTGGCTCTCTAGGCTCTTTTAACTGGCAGTCATCACCCCCTATGCTTATGGTGGTTAGTGCCATGAACAGTTAAATCTGTGTATGCTCTGACATATCATCCCCTAGATACAAGTAAATTCTTCCAGTTCCAAGAAAAACCTCATGCTCACACACTGAGATTATCATGTAGGGGGAATTTCTGGTCACTTAATACAGTGTTTCAAACACAGCAGGCATGTGGGTAAATGTTGACTCCAAACAAACCTTAATTAAAGAAGAATTTTTCCAATTTACAGGTCGTGTCATTGTTAACTGAAAAGTGGAGACTTTTGGCATAGAGGAAATGGAATTTTCCAGATATCTGTTTCTTGCCTCATTGGCCCCAAGTCCTACCATTCTCCCTCCTATGACACAAATTTAGCAACTAAAAGGGAAAAATGGCACCACCAGTCTGAGTTTAGACACTGTCAGCAGAGAGAAAAGTCATGAATTCTAGATATTATTATTAAACCCTCCCAAGATGGCTAAACTTCAGACATCAGGAAAAACTACACATAGTCAAGGTTAAACATTAAAAGAAAAAGTCCAGGTTAAGCATAAAAAAAGGATCATCTACTCTAGCAGTTCCCAATTTCTGGGCCACTGCCCAAGGGAGCCCTGAAGTTATTGCAAGAGGCCTGTGACTTCTTTCTGCTTTAGGAAAGGTATATTTATATATTAGCAAAGGTTGAGAGCCACTGATTTAATATGTATGTTATACAACTGCAGCTATATGCAATGCTGTTTCACAGCAATAAGAAATAAGAAATGACACATCATTGGTGAAAAATCATGCTGACAGAAATCAAAATTATCTTCCTTACTTCCTTAACATGCAGAAAATCTTTTGCTTCAAATGAGATGGCCATGCCTGGCACCGGAACGTCATCTTCATGGGCCGCGCTGTAGCTGACATTTGTCCGAACTGCAAATGCAACGGGCTTTGTCTAAAGTGAGAAAAAGAAGGGAGAAAAAAAAATAAGAAAAGAAACAAGTGTTCCTCCCTTTCCCCCTCTGCCAAATACAAACATACATTGAATAACTATTGTAACCATTGTTGGCTTTTTTTCTGCATTGGTTCTTTAAGCACACAACAGCTTGTTAGTATTCACGACGTATGACATTGTCCAGCTTTTGGCGACATACCACCCATTTCTGAACTAAGAAAAAGCCATTGTTCCCTTTGAAAGGACGACAAGTAATGAAGGTGAAGATGAACTACTGAAATACGTGTTTACAACATCACAGCTTGTAGCAACTGGAAATTAGAAAACACAACATGCATAAAATGCCTAGAGTTTTTGGTTTCGGTGGAAAAGACATAGTAACTGCCCTCCTGCCCCAAACATAGATTTTAAGCAATCATTAATGACATAATTCCAAAAGGTAAAATATTTTGAATAGGAAAAGAACCAGGGAACACGTATTACAACTATAGCAACTATTATTCTTGGCCGCAGGAGATTATGAAAGCAATGACCTTTTGTTCTATTATTTCTCATCCTTGAGTTTGCTCAGCCACTAATGATGATAATATTAATTAAGCTCTCCATGACTTGATACTTTGAAAATTTACAGATTAGCATCTGTCCTCTCTCTAGGCAATACCTGTTTATCCACAACATGAAAAAATAGGTAAGATCAGAAACAGTGAAAGGGGGTATAGTTCTAACTGATATTGTGCTTCTTCTGCATTATGAGCAACTGGATTTCTTCTCAGCAGCTTCTCCCTGTCCAGTGAGCTCTTACCTGGACAAGCCATGGAGAGCAAGGAGGGATTTGGAATAGAGAGAACCCACCTTCATTTCCTTATGTTCCAGTTCATCTGTTCTAACCTGACTCTTGCCTGGGTTGGGGACTGGGCTAAGAGCCTTGAAGTCACTCAGCTGCACCCACAATTTGCAGATTGGAAAAGGAGGACCAAGTTTTGGATACAGGCACAATAGACATGAAGTGGATTTAAATCTTTAAAAGCCAATTCTCGGTATCCATTACATTATTTAATGATGCAGTTTTTACTATTTCCCATATTTACTCATCTATGAAGGCTCCACACCTACCCTTTCCTAGGTGCTGGAAACCCTCTGAAACCCTCCTCAGACCAAACTCCTTAACACAGTTCAATGCCTGCCAGGTGATGCATGCCAAATCACTGTTAGACCCCAGATGCCTTTCTCTAATAGGGATTCTTTCATATTCTCTAGGATATGAGACAATGGTAAGGTTTCCTCATATTTATTTTGTTTGCCTTGTTTTATACCTTTAATTAAGATTGCCTTTGATAGTCCTCAGATACTGGGGCTGTCTTTTTTTTCAAACCAACCTGAAGTTCCAAGGACTATTCATTAAGGAATCATTATATTTTTATCCCATGAAACCATTCTTTATCCAATATAGCCTGCTCTAAGTTGACATCTTCATTGTTGGCCACTTGGACCTTTTTTCTCTCACCATTCAGGGGGTTCTTGCCTTTGTCCCCCACTTAGAAACTCACTTTTCAGGCCATTTACCTGCATATTCATTCATTCTGTCTGTCATTCTCTCTTAAGGTAAACCCAAGTCCTAATAAGCAAGAAGAAACCAGAGCCAAGAAACTGTGGCTCTGCAGAAGCTACAGTGGAGCACTGGAATAGTGGGGACTGTGGTAAGAGATCTACACAGCGCTCTGGGACATGTTGGGACCCAAGAGGTGTCCTGTCCTGGACCACGAGGGAAGCAAAGCTACTCCAGACCCCAAGACCGAAAGTAATGACGAGCTCTAAGTATCGGGTTCTGCCCCAGGCCCTAGGTTAGCCCTTCAAGCTGTTGGTTCCCTTACTCTCCAAGGTCTCCCAGGTTTATCTGAAAGGCACCTTGGTCATGGCTAGAGAGTAAGGTGGGGAAGAAAGGCAGAAGGCCCAGGTATGGAAACAGCCCACAGCTACAACTTTGAGAATGTCTGCCGAACGACAAGCAGCGCACTGTGTGTATTATGCATTTAATTTAACCCCAACAACAACTGTTTTCTCCCAGGTGAGGAAACTGAGGCTTAAAGAGTTCTCCCAGCTGGGCAAGGTGGTGTACAGGTGTGCACCTGTAATCTGAGCTATTTGGGAGGCTAAAATGGGAGGATGGCTCGAGCCTAGGAGTTTGAGTCCACTTTGGACAGCATAGTGAGATCTTGTCCCTTAAAAAGCAAATAAATAAAGTTTTAAGATAACTGCTATGGAAGGTTAAAAAAGAAAATAATAATCTCCCAGGCCATAAGCAATTGAGATGGTATTCAAATCCATCTCACTGCAAAGCTTGAGTTCTTTCTGCAGTGCTTGAGTGCTTTTCATTCACAAGGGTACACTGATGGCAGTTCTAGGGCATTTAGGTATTTGTGTGAAATTCTGAAGACTTGAAAGTTACCATTTATAAAATGCTAAAAAAAATTGGTCGGTACAAAAATGGTAAAAAAAAAAAAAAAATTAGACCGTCTACCTTGTAGTCTCACACTAAATGAGTAGTTTCATGTGTTAGACCTGTGGGTATTCATAATAAAGGTTTATATTTCTGTATCTTTGCACTTAAATCTATTTGAGGTCCAATAAGTCAACAGCAATGTCAAATCATACTTTTTGTTATTATTTGGATATAACTTTCTTCACTTCTCCTTTTCACAATCTATAAAGATATACTTCATGCAAAATGAATTGTGATATGAAAACACATGGTTTCATGGTTTCCGAAAGTGCCACCAAGGGCCCTGCATAGAGAGAACTGAAAGGACACAGCTGCTCTAGTTCAACAACAGTGAGTAAAAAAAGTCACGTAAAATTCCTTATGATAAAATGTTTCAACTGAGTACACTGACTCATGCCTGTAATCCCAGGACTTTGAGAAGCCAAAGCAGGAGGATGGCTTGAGGCCAGGAGTTCAAGACCAGCCTGGGCAACATAGAAAGACCCTATCTCTACAAAAAATAGGAAAACTAAGCCAGACAATGGTGGCACATGTTTGTAGCCCAAGCTAATTGGGAGGCTGAGGCCAGAGGATCACTTGAACCTGGGAGTTCAAGGCTGCAGTGAGCTTGGATTGAGCCACTGCACTCCACCCTGGGCGACAAAGTGAGACCTTGTCTCTTTAATAAAAAAAAAAAAAAAAAAAGGTTCACAGATTAACTTTAAGAATTTTCATTAGATGTAAAGTTACTTTGGGAACACTACAACTTTGTTTTACAAATTTATTACTTTTCGAAAAATTCACTCTCTGTGTACCTCTTCTGTAACAGCCATTGGTGTATCAGCTCAACATACTCTGCTGCATCACTTGAGATTCTTTGGCTTCCACTATGGTTGCTTGGGTGTGGTTGCTCACACACTTTTACTCAGTTTACAGCTTTTAGTGTGGACTTGTTCTGATGGATGATTACAAGCAGTTCTAAGTAGAGCGATTCAGTCACCCCAAGAATGCTACTGAAGGTTCAAACCACCTGATTTCACTACCTCCTTCCCGATTCCAGTACTATTACTGCCTGGCCTAAAGACTCAAAAGGATGGCCCAAAACCATCTACTCAAGCCCCCCGAACTTTCCACCTTCTACCTGCTTCTGCTATCACGCATGACCTATAACCCCTAGCTTCACGTCCTTAATCATGCTGCCATATGCTTTGCTCTGCCTGGAGACAGATGCCAGGATGTAATCACGAGCAGACAGGTATGTGAGACAGCCATGCTGGCAAGTCTGCGAGGATACCTGTGCACAGCTGCAGGACTTGCTTTTTCTCACATCCTTAGGCAGCTCTAGTAGCTCCATGGAGCCCACAGGATCACGTCAGACATGTGTTTCAAGTTTACAGTAGGAGCAGCTTTTGTTTTCTTACAGCCTTCTATAATAGAATCACTAGGCCTAAGGTTGTTAAAAAATCAGTTATTATACATAGAAGATAATTAACTTAAAATTTCTCTTTTTTTCATGAAGCTGAATAAACAGATTATCATAAATTCATGGCAATATTTCCAGCTTTCTTCCTAAACAATGACTTAATGAGGAAACTAATAATTTGAATGGAAACAACACAATGTTTACCTTAAGTTTACAAAAAATGTGCCAGTGGTAGAATGCATGCTATTAAAAAGCAAGATGAAAATTCGCTCATGAATAAACATAAATTTCTGATCATGATTAATACAGTTGCTCAGATTTTCATGCATCCATTTCTTCATTCCTTAATACAGAGATGAATTTCACCGTGCTAAATAGGAAAGTATGCTTTCCTATTTTCATACTGAAACCACCAATAGCTAATAACATAAAAGGAAAATTCACAATGTTTTAATGTCTACAATAGATTTGTCTTAAATATTACCTGCTCCCAACTTACAATCTTTTTAAAAGGAATTTAAAGAAAAATATGACCCAGGTCCCTATTATAAGAGACTATGGACAAGAGAAGTTAAAAATATCTAATCTTTTTTATCTATTTTCTTGTGGCATACAATAACTTCCTATAAAACTTGTTGTACTCTTTTATAATTTTAAATGCCGCAAGTTGGAGTGTAGCCCTTGAGTCTTATGCAAGAAGCACTTAGGAACCAAAGAGGCAGTGATTGTACTTTTAGGAATCAGATCACAGCTCTCTGCTTTATTTAGTACTGACTGATATTTTAGTTTCCAGTTCTCCTTCTCTGATTACAACTTCTCGGTATCATTTTGCTACTTTCAGTGATAATCAAAAATTCTTCCAATATAGAAGCAAACTTTTCAACTTCATCTTATTCCTTACAGGGAGGCAAAAAATGTCTACTATATAGTTTGAAAAATCTTGAGTCTTGGCCTTTTAAAAATCTTTGCTTCATTTATTATAAACTCCCAAGGGTAGTCTGAGAATTCTTTTAATATTAATAGCAAAACATATTAAACCATAGTGATAAAAAGAATGTAACAACTGATTATATACCCTGATGACTAAATACTGAATCA